CGATTAATCCTCGGTAGTTTTCCATGGTCATGTTACTTCACTGATCATCAAGAATGGGAGCTCTCTTCAAGGGTTCAACGTCTGGCAATTCAGGATATTCAAAGCGAGAGGACATCTCCCTCTTTCGCCCTGAGCTGGTGTGTTCCACCAGCACCCACCATTCCCTTTTATAATATTCCTTGCCTCCATAACCAACGTATGCATATCCATAAAAGTAAGCCGCTTTGCCTGGGATCATGTGACCGTCTGAGTACAGAAACCTGGACACGTAGAGGGGCTTGCCTGCAAAATACATASAGATATATATCATGAATACATACAGAATTATATCAGTCTGCTAACGAGTCCATATAACTGTAGCATCATCCCATTTTTTGTTTCTGTCACTTTGGACCATGCTCATTCATTCATTCATGTAAGGACTTACCATTCAGCTGATAAACATTTTACACAAGACAGCGAATGGAGAGTTTGCTCTGGTTTGTGCACTTACCCTTATCAGAACCTCCAACAACAGCATTAGCAGGGGGAGTTTTGCCACTGCTTTTTTTCCATTCCAAATGTGATCTCCATCCAGGGTTAGTGAGGATCTCGTAGCTGCTTCTATAATGCTCTTTTCCTCCCCAGGATGTATGGGCCAATCTGCTGGATGGATTCATYTTTCCAGGGGTGAGACCAGAGCTTATTCCGACTCTGGCAACGTACAGGACCTGAAAAAGTGTGTGTAATAAATAGTCAACGTGCACGTATTCCGAAAACTGGGGCTCAAACATAGGACTAACACCATATCATCGTTTCAATAGAGCACGTTATTTCCATGAAAACATTAAAATACATAGAATGYGGTAATTTTTTTGTATATTGATGGTTTACAGGAAGCTAATGAAAAGAGAAGTGACTCTCACGTGTGGGATGCTCRCAAAATACACGAGATCACATCTTCTCCCCGTTCGCAGTCTTAGCGACGACGGGGTATCGATAAGTCTACGGAGTCACTGTGATATTGCCCGTGTAAAGCAAACCTGGAATTACGCTAATAAAAACAAGGAAATGTAGTGCTCAACTAATCCAATTGGRTTGAATATTCGTTATGGAGTCGGTCAACACCGACACTTTGAATTTTGGGCCTGTTATTCAGCTACTTGCTCGAAAAAAAGGTAATTTACACAGAACAGAGAGAAGTCGAAACAGACGTAAAGTTCCTGAGGATTGAACTTTGGACC